TTGACAAAAACCTTACGAACACATCAACTTTCACCATTTTACACAATCTTATATTATAAAAGATTACAATACACACTAAATTTATAATTATATTCAGAATTATATTGCACAATAATTAATCATCCGTATTTGACAAGATCTACGACTACACAACTGTAAAGATTTTTTTTTTCTTAAGAAAAATAAATTTTAGCATTTTATATGTAATTTAGTTAGTGATTAAAATGGGATGTGGACATCAACGCAAATTATTGAATCATGGGATGGGTCGTCGCTGCTTACGTTTGAAATTGACAAATAAATAGTATTTTAATGTGGATTGTTATTTAAAAATAAAATTTGCAGTAATATAATAAAGATTTTTTATTAAATAAATATTAGGAAAATGTTGAGTGACAGCTTTGTCAGGACGTCCAAGCCAATCGTGTGCTCTAAGATTCTGGATTCCTGACGCCATTTTTATTTTTTACTCTCCTCACATTCTCCTGAAAATACAAAGTTTTTCTTTACCTGCGAAACTCATATTAAATTATTATTAAAACGTGTATATATATATATATATATATATATATATATATATATAGAGAGAGAGAGAGAGAGACTTACTGTAATATTCGTAAATTTTAAAAATATTACCATAATAAAAATCACCCTCATAAAAAATCAAGAATGGCAACATATAGACATTTGGGCAGTCATTTTTTCAGTGAATCCCGTAATCACTATTCTGAAATATGGACTGGGTAAACCTCATTCATGTGTAGTTAATCACAATAGAAAGATCATGTGTTATAGATTCGATTGAAAGAATATTGACGACAAGAATCAAACTCGTGACATTCAGATATGAGAATCATGTTCCATCCTCCACTTACTTGATAAATCTTTTTGAGAATTCGGACAATAATTTTTTTCAAGTGTCGAGACAAAATTATAAACACTATTTAACAATATACACTAGATAAATTTCGTGATTACTCGGAAAATGATTTTTCCTTGGGAGTTGCGAGCAATTAAGACGCAGGTAGGCATGATCCATGTATGTGAGGAAAGTGACAGCACGAAAGTAGAGCACAAAATGAGTGGGCTCACATTTATTTCCCCAATCCTAATTTTTGCTCTTACAGATTGCGCCATCACATCACTCGTGTTTCCATCAAACAATCATACTTCTCCATCAACCATTTTTCTACCTAGCTCTTGATTCCCTACCATAATGCTCAATGAGGTGTCGAACCATGAGCTTTTAGACAAATCACATGAAAATAGATATATAACTTAACTAATGTTACACTTATAAAGAAAAAATGTAATATTTTTAGGTCAAAATATAAAAATATTACATTTTTCTTCAAAAATATTATATTTTTTCATATAAGTATAAATATTTTATTATTGATTTAGTATTACATTTGCTAGTATAAGTATTACATTTCAGTTTGATCCGACCCATCTCACGAACAAAGACCTGTGAGACGATCTCACACAAGTTTTTGTCAAGTTTTAAAATTATCATTTTTTTCGTGTCACTTTCCCATATATATTACATATTATATCCATGAATTCGTCAATTTATAATCTTGTTTACTAAAAGTTGAGTGAGCACAAGATTAATTATAATCAGTCAAAATATACCATTATGAGAATCCTAATAGAATTGTAAATCATATGACACTGTCCACCCACCAAATCACAAAACAGCTACGACATTAAACAAATTGTCTGGTGACTAAACGAGAATCTTAGCCCTCCCAAAATCGAAAAGCAAAACCACTTTAATTTGTTGACCAGATCGGTTGCATGTATAAATATATATACACAAACATATATGGATATAATTCTTCTTCCTCAATCCTTTCAAGGTGGACCATTGAAAATGCTTTGCCAAACATTTCCTTAATAATGATTCTCAGCATTAATTATGGAGTCATCAAAGTAGGTATTAACCATAATTTCCAATGTTATTTTCATCAAACTAATTGTGGTTAATGGCTGGTGGCCACATATCCCTTGTGCTATTAGCCCACTGCATGCAATGTCACCATTTTTTAATGTCAATTTGTTGATTGATGATTGCAGTGGCGTCATTGTGAAAGAAACCATTGATCTACTTATACATATAATAATAATATAATTGATGTGCTAGTGATTCTATTCTTATTTTTTGATGAATCATTTTCATAAAAAAAAAAAAAAACTTGTACTGTATAAGGCTATTTCACTCGAGGAGAATTTTAAATATATAATATTTTTTAATGAAAATATAATAATTTTATATAGTTAACTGGTAACAAGTGTTAGTAGTATAAATAATTGTATTTATTTTATGTTATATGGTTTGTATATGTGGTAGAGAATTAGTCTATTCAGCTTTAGCCTATAGAATATGAGCTATGTATATAGGACTCTAATTGCTTGTCTGAGTTCAATTGAATCTGTTATTCTTACATTCCGCAATCTCATCTGGTATCACGAGCCAAAGGTTCGATTCTGTTTCTTTTTTTTCCGATTCACCACACATTACTCCCGTTCCGATAGCATGGCGTCCTCCTCCAGTGATTGAACCGTCGCCACCACCTCCGGCGTACCTTCGGTGGCCGTCAATTCTCTCACGGCGGCGCACCATTTTGTCTCCACGCGGCTGACGATGAATAACTACCTTTTTTGGCGCACTCAATTGGTGCCATTCCTCCGCGGCCAAGGTTTATTAGGCTACGTCGACGGTCGGATTCCGTGTCCTCCGGCGACCATCGTCGTGACCTCCACTGCCGGCGACTCCACCACGACAACCACCACAACTGCAAATCCGGCGTATGAAGCATGGATTCAGCAGGACCAGGCGATCCTTTCCACCATCGTCTCATCCTTGTCCGACGAGGTTATGCACCTCGCAGTCGGCCGGCAGACGTCTCGGGAGGTCTGGGATGCCATTGCGTCGACGTGCGCCTCCACCACCCGTGCGCGATGTTTGAGTCTGCTGGGGCAGTTTCAGACCCTCCGCCAAGGCCCTGGATCTCCAGCCGAATATTTAGGGAAGTGTCAGATGATCGCTGAGGCACTATCACTCGCCGGCAGGCCCCTCTCGCCGGACGAACAAATTTTGTACGTTCTCCGGGGTCTCAGACCGGAGTTCCGTACCATGGCGAACTCCCTAACCGCAACTGGTCAGACCGTGTCGTTGGCACAGCTCTCCGACTTCCTCCAGGCGCAGGAATTCATCCATGAGGATGACTTCGCCGTTGCTGACTCGGCGGCTGGCAGTGGCTCTCCGGCAGCTTTCTTTGCTGGTCGAGGGCGGCACGGCAACGATCACCAGCAGGGCCGTCACTCCAGCGGACGTGGCAGTGGTGGACGTCAAAATCGTGGCCGGGGCAATCACGGACGGCAAGGCCGGGGTGGCGGACCGAGATGTCAAATTTGCAGAGCCTATGGACACACGGCCTTGTACTGTAACAAACGGTACAATGATCGTCCTGCCGGTCACGCCAACGTAGCGGTCTCAGGTGATAATTCGGGACATGTGACACCCGATGTGTGGTACCCGGATACCTGGGCAACATCTCATGCAACCCCAGATGAACAGATGATGGGACACTCTGAAACCTACACTGGTGGGGATGTTCTAAAAATTGGAAATGGTACAGGTTTGGGTGTTTCCCGTATAGGCCACACTGTAATCCCATCTAATTCTAAAAGTTTGTCAATGTCTCAAATATTACACGTCCCAAATTTAACGTTACCGTTGTTATCCGTTTATCGCTTTACTAACGATAATGACGTTTACTTTGAATTTCACAAAAATCTGTTTCTTGTGAAGGATTGCAACACTCGGGCGGTTCTTCTTAAAGGTTTCACCTCTGGCGGCCTATACAAGTTATTGGTCACACCATCTCCGTGTGCCTTTCTCACCGCTCGAGCATCCTCCGATGTGTGGCATCAACGTCTAGGTCACCCCCACAATCAAGCTCTCCAGCGTACTCTAAAACACTGTCCCGTCACTACAAATAAAGCCAGTTCGTCAAAGTTGTGTACTGCGTGTCAACTCGGGAAATCGGCCCGCTTTCCCTTAGATAGGGTTTCTAGCACTAGCAATAATATTTTAGACTTATTGTATACGGACATCTGGGGTCCGTCTCCTGTAATTAGTGCTACTGGCTACCGCTATTTCGTTCTGTTTGTAGACGATCACTCGCGTTATTGCTGGTTTTACCCATTACGGTTAAAATCAGATATATATAAAATATTTGATGTGTTCCGGGTGATGGTAGAACGACGCTTTTCGCGTTCTATCAAAACCATACAGTCTGATTTAGGGGGTGAGTATCAACGTCTTCACAAAGTCTTCGAAAATTTAGGCATTACACACAGACAATCGTGTGCCTATACCCATGAACAAAACGGCCGTGTCGAACGCCGGAATAGACATATTGTCGAAACTGGCTTGGCACTTCTAGCTGAAAGCTCAACCCCACGGATATATTGGGATTATGATTTCGAAACAGCCACCTATTTAATAAATTGTCTACCATCCTCTGCTATAAATTTTGAAAGTCCACATTATCGTGTCTACAAAACACAACCTCCGTACACTTTTCTTCGTGTCTTTGGGTGTCGATGTTACCCTTATCTTCGGCCCTATAATCGGCACAAGATATAGTATCGGTCGACACCATGTGTCTTCTTAGGTTACCCTGTCTCTTTTAGGGGATATCGGTGTTTGGATCCTATCACGGGGAAGATCTTTATCTGCTGCCATGTTCGGTTTGATGAATCCGTCTTCCCTTTTGGTCTACCGGCATCTTCTCAGCCTACAGTGAGTTCCACTGCGACGCCCTGGGGAGCCGGGCCAGTTGTAGTTGCCACTCAGTCAACACCCCTAGCCATGGAGTTACCTATAGCTCCAGAACCGGGGCCACCGGCCATAACAGCTCCACCAGAAACTCGTATCACTACGGGACCACCTACTACGGCCCGTAGGGGCCGGGGCCGGGGACGGGACTATGCGGACTCGACACAAGACTCAGGGTCAAGATGAAGAGTTTCTTGCTCTTATTGCGACTATTGATCCAACCTGCTACTCTCAGGCCGTAGGGCATCCTCAGTGGCGGGATGCCATGGATCAGGAATTTAATGCCCTATTACATAACAACACCTGGGAGCTCACTCCGGCTACACCACAAATGAACATCATTGGCTGCAAATGTGTTTTTCGCACCAAACGCAAAGCCGATGGTTCAGTGGAGCGCTATAAGGCGCGACTAGTAGCAAAAGGGTTCAACTAGGTTGCAGGGGAAGATTTTTTTGATACTTTCAGTCCGGTGGTCAAGCCAACCACCGTGCGCATACTTTTCTCTCTTGCTGTTTCTAACAGGTGGACTCTACGGCAGCTAGATGTTCATAATGCTTTCTTAAATGGACATCTTGCTGAAACTGTATATATGAAGCAACCACCAGGCTATGAAGACTCGACCAGGCCGAATCATGTCTGTCATCTTCAACAGTCCCTTTACAGACTGAAGCAAGCACCTCGTGCCTGGTTTAAGAGGCTTCATGATTTTTTGATATCCACAGGGTTTTTGGCGTCCATAACGGATGTATCTCTATTCCATTACACTTCGGGAGATTCACGCGTCTTTTTGCTAGTTTACGTCGACGACATTATAATGATGGGGAATGACACAAGTCCGGTCACGGTCTTGCTACACCGCTTAGCCACGACTTTCAAGATCCGGGACTTGGGAACTCCGAGTTTTTTCTTAGGGATCGAGACTCTCACACTTGGTGACAGTTTTCTTCTCTCTCAGCGCCGGTATATGCAGGATATTCTATCTCGCTCAGGCATGACAGATTGCAAAGCCCTGGCTACACCGGCTTTAGTCACACGGCCGACAACGTCGTCCTCCGCTTCTTTTGAGAATCCAACGCAGTATCGTCGTATAGTTGGGGCATTGCAGTACCTCACTATCACTCGTCCAGATCTAGCGTATTCTGTTAACCGATTGTGCCAGTTTATACATTCCCCTACCGATGATCATTGGAGTCTTCTCAAGAGGGTTCTCCGCTATATCAAGGGGACTCAGGACTACGGTTTACGTCTTCGTCCATCGGCAACGACTGATTTACATGCTTACTTCGACTCTGACTGGGCCGACTGCCCTATTGATCGGAAATCCACCAGTGGGTATGCAGTCTTTCTTGGGGATAACCTGATTTCGTGGGTATCCCGCAAGCAACGCACAGTAGCAAGGTCTTCGACGGAGGCAGAGTATAAGGGCCTGGCAGATGTAGCAGCTGAGGTTACCTGGATCGTCTCTTTGCTGCGGGAACTTAGTCTCCACTCGGGCAAGCCAGCAACACTTGGTGTGACAATCTCGAGGCTACATACTTAGCAGCTAATCCAGTCTTCCACGCTCGGACGAAGCACGTTGAGATTGACTACCACTTTGTCCGGGATAAGGTCACATCCGGGGATTTTATTGTTAGCTTTGTTTCCACGAAGGAGCAGATCGCCGACATCTTCACCAAACCCTTACCAGGACCGCGGTTTCAACTGCTTCGGGACAAGCTCAATGTTGTCACCCTCCAACCTTGTGTTTGAGGGGGTGTGTTAGTAGTATAAATAATTGTATTTATTTTATGTTATATGGTTTGTATATGTGGTAGAGAATTAGTCTATTCAGCTTTAGCCTATAGAATAGGAGCTATGTATATAGGACTCTAATTGCTTGTCTGAGTTCAATTGAATCTGTTATTCTCACATTCCGCAATCTCATCACACGTATATTAGCTTTCGTTTTAAAATATTGAAAGACCAAATTGAATATGTTTAATTTATATATTGAGGGACTATTTTTTTTTGAATGCTACTGGCCCTATTACATTGTAGTATCTGTTCATATACTTTCTCAACCTACTGAAACACAAAGAGCCAATAACGTCTCCACTGGGGCTCGAACTCATAACCTTCCAAATGGAAGTCCAAATATATTGAGGGACTATATTTACTACACAATAAAACAATTGAGAATTACATTGACTGGAATTGAAAGCGAGGGATTAAATTGTATAATGGCTAATATTTAAGGGACTAAAAGTTAAATTTACTCAACTTTTCTTTGGTCATAGAGTATTTCATTTTCATTGAAAAGTATTACTTGTGTTTCTTAAAAATTATTATTGAAAATGTTATTTTTTTTCCCGTGAAAATATAACACTTATTAACCCATAAAGAAGTACTCCGTATTACATTTTTGTTAAAAACATTACATATTTAAGATTTGTCTTACGTGAGATGATCTCACACACACAAGACCAATCGTATACAAGGATGTTCACTGGGAAAGTGTACATTGACAAACATATCAATGACAATATAGTGTTGTGTATACAAGGATATTCACTACATTTATGGATTACACATTAGATTATTTAATCTAACTTATTAATTACTCTATTAATTACAACCAAACATGTAAAAATAAATCATTTAATCTATAATTTCAACAACTGTATTGAATAACCTTTCTGCCAAACAGTTAATTACATTTGGAATAAAATTCACAAAACAAAAATATATGCAACCTTTTTAACTATAGTTACAACTACACCCAAATAGAGTGCACTTAAAAAAGCGAGATAAACTAAAAAGCTTATATAAGGTCATGTCTTTTGTGGTATATATTGATGGATTTCTTTTTCCTTTAAAAAAAAAAAAAAAAAAAAAAAAAAAACTTTTGGAAAAGAGCAAGTTAGGGTAATATGTAAATGGTAAAAGGTGAATGTTTATATAATCCCCACTATTCACAGCATTGATAATTGACCATTGGTTAATAGGTCGGGAATTCTCGATCTATATCAACCACTCTCTAACACGCCATACATAAAATTTTCTATTTAAAAAGAGAGCAAGAGATGATTGGATGCATATGATCGATTGCATCGATAAAGAAAATATCGCTTCAATCTTCATGTGCATGCTTATTGACCATTGGTCACTAAGAAACCCCATCCTTACGTTGGTATATATTTTTTCACCAATACAGCCACGCTTTAACAAGTATTTTCATCATCATACATATATAACATCCAACAATAATAGAGAGAAAGAAAATGATATGTCACCACCAATGGTTTATCTAGGGATAGTGGCCTAAGGCTTGGAGGAGTTGTGATGGGCTATATGGAGGTGAGAGGTACAACATTTCAAAGGACAAGTGGGGCTTAGTACAATGATTAAGCAAAGTACTATGCGTTGTTTGTTTTGCCGGAATAATGAATGAAATAATTGATATATGGTTGGCATATTAATGGTAATAGGATAACCTTGATGAATCAAATCAATGTCATTTTTATTTTGCACTTAGCATTGCTATTTTGAGGTAAGTTGTTTTATATCTTTTAGAAACCATGCAGTTGGTCTCAACTTCATTTGACTTTTAGTCTTAAGTCATCATCCCCAAATTCTAGGGTTGGAGATTGTAATGTGCATGATGGGCACAATTAGTTGCCCACTTTCACCCTATGGTAATTAAATAGCTCTTTGAACAATTGTTATGCTATGGACTCGTGTCCAGCATACATTGTGGACACGGTAACGGCCGTTAGTGGCACCGTTATATTTCACCATTTTTTTAAAAATTTTAAACCGCTTCGTTATAGGAGCATATGTTCATAATTTTATCACTATATGTTCATAATATTAGAGCTCTGTGTTCATAATTCCATAATTGTACATTCATACTTCTACATTCATAATTCGGTAATTGTACATTCATAATTCAATAACAGTAAATTCATAATTTTCGAAGCTCTATGTTCACAATTTTAGAGCTCTATGTTCATAATTTTATCACTATATATTTATAATTGTAAGTTCATAATGTCAAAGCTCTGTGTTCATAATTTCATAACTGTACATTCATAATTCCACAAACGAATAAACGACGAGACAAAATCAATTTTTTTTAACTAAAATGCCATCGTGACGTCATTTTGAACTCGTGTCCACAATATTTGCCCTCTTTAAATAATTTCTTTAAATTTTTTTTTTTTTTAAATAAGAGTGATTCTAATTTTAGTGGGCCGGGTAGTTTAAATCAGAACACATGTGGGCTAATAGAAAGCTCAATAACGTTGCACACAAATTGGGCCCAATAAACGCATTCAAACGTTTGAAACTTGGATTGTAGGATTCCCAGAAAGAAATCCTTTCAAAAAATAATATACACCGTTGATTGTGACTAACACACGGTATTCTTTAGTAAAAGGCGAAAGAATAGTTCGCATTGTGTCAATCACACGGCTATGATGAAGTGGAAAGGAAGAATTCATTTCCTTATATTTCATACTGCCATCTTGGGGTACTCTCTTCTAGTTCGATGTGGGACACTTGACTGCCCTATGCAACCATGAGAATCTCATTCTAACCATCTTGTATTAATCCTTAGAAAATAATAGATGGATGTTCGACACTAACATGACATGTTATGATTGGTTGGATGTCAAATATATTACGTTAAACATGCTTAGTGAGTGTGCGAAATGAGACTTCTAAACTAAGTTGTATCCTCAAGAGTTAATCCCAAAGTAGGATAGCTAATTTAGGGTGACGAGAGACACTTGCAGTCACTGTTCGAGGGTGTGCACTGGGTAAATCACTCCTTGTGATCCTAGCCGACAAAGAACCACAATGAGATAAGTCAGTCTATGTTGCACATAGCTAACGGGTTCAAGCCAAGAGGACTTTGATTCAAATCAAGCCAATCATTACTTATATGCTTTACCAAACCCTGTTGTCTCAGGTGAAAAGGGTTTGAGTAGTTTCTGAACAGGACCTGACCAATACTTGATTGGATTAGTCTTGTATGGCAAGATGCGGATACTAGCGCAGTATTCAAAAAAAGAATAGAAAAAAAAAAAATTAGAGAAAGGATAGTGCATGATGTTGAGAGAGAGGAGAGACCAAGACAAGGATGGTTGGGGGTGAGGTCCCCCCACTCAAACAATATGAAAACAGAAAGGCAAATCAACATTCACACCACATCATTCTGATCATGAATCATTTCAAGGATCCCAGGCCTACCAAAATAGCCAAGTTGTTGTAAGCAAGGAAAAAGCTGCTGGAGTAGTGCCAAAACTCATATATTTCCTGCTCAAAAAGTGAAGGACATGCCTTACTGGTGCATGGCATATAAAGATGGCTTCTCAATCACAGCAAAGTGGCAAGACAAGAGAGATAGGACACTTGAGATTTGCATGATATTCCTGTCTACTAAGTTCATTTTACCAAGGGAAACAAAATCACAGCCACAAGAAGCAGAAAATAGCGACTTTACTTCCATAGAAACAGCCGTTCACCGAGTTCCCGGTGATAGCAAACTGAAAATTTACTAAGAAGGTAAGGGAAATGGGAGAACTAAATTTACAAGGAAAATTTGCATATGCTGTTGAGTGGACATTGAACAGCCAACTTTGCTAAGTCCTCTGTTTAAGTATATTTCGTAACTGTGATTTCTGGCTTTCTAACCTTGCTTCTAAAAGCTTGGCTTTCAAACCCTGCCTCGGGTTTCCCCGGGGCCATTCAATACATCCTTTCATAGCTCGGGCTATATGGTGGTTTCCCAGCACAGGGGAACAGGAAAGGTTTACCAAACCATTGTGGCTATTTGTCACTTCAACCGATACTTTCTCTAGTGAAGTGACGTCAATATTATGACTAGACCCATTCGATAGCCTTCTGTTCTCATCAGGTGAAGTTGTCCTGCATTCGTCATCATTATTTGGCGAGGAACTCCAAAGCTTGCGAAGTGTTGTACCTTTCTTCTTGGAATGTTTTGGTTGGACACATGAGATTTCACTAGTTTCAAAGCCCGGGGAGCCCTGATCACTGTTCTGTTTAACATATCTGTTTTGGACAACTCTATTGACGGACTTTTCACTTCCCCCACAAGTGTGATTTGAACGCTGATCGTCGACTTGAGTAACAGTTCCTGCACTATTGGCATCTTTGCAACCCTCATCGTTATCAACAAAGCTTTTTGAATTCCTTATGAATTTGCAGAAACTATCAGACCCAGGATTGACGTTGTGGATTCCAGAGGCATGGCTCGGACTGTTACCAAGGTAGTAATCGATCCCCAGCTCTTTTGCTCTACTGGTTTCGGGGCCCTCAGAGACTGCATACTTGTCGTTTGAAAGTGGAGAGACGGGGGAGAATTTTGGTGTCTCGTGGTTTTTGAGAGTGTCTATTGCTCGTTTGATCATTCTAGCTTCACTGATCTCAATCGTATCAGCAGTTACATTTCTTGATTTCAGAAAAGTCTCAAGACTCGATATCAGATTACTCATCTCGCTGTATTTTTCTTCAAGAATTAGCCTCGCATCTACCAGCTTCATTTGAACCCGTTCTTCACGCCAAACCTCGGACAACTGCAACATCTTCCTCTCTTCATCTACTTCGTCCCGAATCTTTGTGCATTCGCCATTCAATGCTTCAATTTCTGCGCTGTCTTCTTCAACCTTCTTTGCTAAATCCGTGCACACCTTTTCTAGTATCTCTCTCGCCTTCCTTTCTTTCTCGTAATCCTGCATATAACGTCTGACAGATACCTTGGTATCAGCCAGATCGCTAAGCAACTTGGAATTAAGCATGTCAAGTTGCTGGCAGTTTCTTCTCTCCCTCCTCAACTCACCCTTCAAATCATCAACTATTTTTCGCATCTTCTGGTGTTCTTTCCTCATCCAAAACGCTCTTTCCTCACTCAGCTTGTTAACAAAATGCTTGAGTTTCTTCCTGGAATGCTTATTCTCAACTTCAAGCTCTTTCACACGATTTCGAGCTTTCAGTACCTCGAATTGCAAAGCAGAAGCAAATGACAGACATGGAGTTTGTTGGGTTCTACAAAGCCTCACATGGCTATGGAAATGGTAAACATCTCTGGACAATCTTGAGTAGCTAGGGTCCCACTTTGTAGCTCCCTCAATTGCAGATTTGGGAAGTTGCATCCAAGAATGCAGCTATAATGGGATGAATGAATGAAAGCATTGAATTATAGTTAGGTTTACTGTTTTCTCTTCTGGATTTGATCTGAACTTTAACCAGGCAAGTCTAAAAATCAAAGCTTTTTTCCGGTTATTCAATTACATGCATACAAACATTCAAGAAAGTAAAAGGGGAAAGGCTCAAAGTTTCAATTCCCAATTGCATTTTTGTCATTTTCAGGTGACCAAAACAAACTAGGAAATGCAAAAAGATGAACTTTCACAAAGATCAAAACTTTTATTCAAAAGAACAAGACCCAAAAAAAAGAAGAATGTCTGTCTATTCAAATTTACCTCGAATCCAAGGCGATCAAGAACCCCACAGTCCCACTTAGCACCGCCGCCGTCAGTACTATGCAAGCCGACTTCCGCCGCCAACTGCCACAGCCCGGCGGCGAGCTTCCTAGCAGAAACCGCCACCAATTCCCCGCTTTTCGCCCCTCTCCGGGGAGCACCACCACCGGAGACAGCTAGACGCTTATTGTCCCCATCTTCGAACTTCCAGCTCAAGAGCGGAGTAGCCACCCCACTCCCGCCCATCCTCCGTCGAACACCACCGTGGTGGTGGATTTTTCTCATCCTCAGACGACGGAGCTTGGCATCTCCCTCGAGTGACCGCCAGCTCGCCGGCCAGGATTTACAAGCTTCGTCTGTGATCTTCATTACTTCTGAAAATTCTTTGTCGCCATTTTTTTTTTTTTTTTGCAGTAAAAAAATAATGAATGGGAGAGAGTTTGACTGAGAGGGAGAGCGAATATAGAGATTGAAGAAAATGTGCTTTAATTTTTCCCGGGCGGTGCGTATACTGTACTATGGTATGGGAGTGGGGTGGGGCTGTCGGGAGTTTCGGTGGTTCTTGAAGAGAGGAGAGTAATTAAAATTATACGAAGTACATAATAATTATCTAGTCAATTGTGATTAACTTGGTTAGAGTACATATAAAGTCAAATAAAAGTTATGTTGATGTAATTCAAGTTTAAATTTGAAAAAAGAACCAGACAAGTTATACAATATTTGAAGCTCATTCAAGATCTTCAAATCAAACGGAAAGTCACAAACATATAGCTAACTAATATGTACACGAATTTGTATGTATGTGAATATCTCGAGTGTAGCATCGTCACTGTTACTTAACAATCTACTAGCATAAATTGAATCGGGATTTGGGAGTACACTATAAGAATAAAGGTCAAAAGATATGGATGCATTGACGAGTTCAAGTGGGCTAGTCAGTTTGTCAGGTGATGATTAGAGCACTTTAAGTAGTTAATATACAAGTGTTAAGAGTATGTACCATTGAGTAAGTGAGTAAAAGATGGTCTCTTAACTAGACTAATTATATTAAAATGAGTGGGTCGAGGTAATAATAGTTAGAAGCAAGTTGGACTACATGGCGCATCTTAATTGAAAGAGAAGGGTAGGTGGAGATGATGAAGATGACGGCGATGAAGAGTGACACTAACCATTTAGACACGAAGAAATTGAGGAAAGTAGTTACAGGTGCCTAAAAGTTAAGAAGTTGAGTAAATTCCATTTTTGGTCCTACTGTTATAAGGGCTTTTACAATTTTAGTCCATCATAATTAATTTTGCCACATTACACCCACTATTATTAAAAGCGTTCCAATTTTAGTCCACGTTAAATTTTCTGTTATTTGACCGTGAATTCAAGGGGTACTTTTGTCTTCTTCTCCTTTACCCTTTGTTCCCATTCGAGACGATGTTCAATGAATAATCTTTCAAGTGAAATTCTTTCTGGAATTTCCAACCTGCAACTCAAGCTTTACTGGAACCATCTCACTCGGAAAGTTCCTTGTGGGGTTCGAAAACCTCTCCAACCTCCAATTCAAGCAATATATGTGAACCAGACCCCTATTCAATAAAAACTATGTACACATACCTCTAACTGACAAATGGACGAACACATGGTGACCCATTCCGCTAAAAGCAAAGGCCAATAAAACCAGCGTCAAAAGACTAAAATTTTCCAAGGAATCAGGTTAATTGGAGACTTATGAAGACTGTGCAATAGGACAACTTTGAAATGAGCTCGGCGACGCCAAAGCCGCGTTAGGCGCAGCCAGCAATGTCGAAGGGGAGCGTGAAGGGGGGTCAAGGCCACCTTTACTGGGAACTCGAGAATGTCCTTGATGTGGTGGCCATAACTCTTAGTGAAGAAGGTGTAATGAAGGCCAGCGAATTTCTTCTGTGCAAACAGGGGAAGATGGGAAGGCTCTTGGTTCTTCGGAACAACTTCACTGTGCTCTGGTATCTGCCTAATCTTGATATCATAGATATCAGTAACAATGGTATTGGCGCAGTAATTGCTAGTGGGTTTGGGGGTTCTTTAAATTCCGGTATCGAAAATAAAAAGGCATTGGCGCAGTTGTTTCTAGGTGATAACAAGCTCTCCAGTGATTTGCTGCCGGAAATTTTTGGAGTTTTGGCCTTGGTTTCAATCGACCTGAGCAACAATCATTTCTCAGGTGAAATTCCGGCGACTATTGGAGATCTTAAAAAGCTCGATAGCCTTTATCAAACAACAAATTCTCCGGTTCAATTTCAGATTTATTAGGCTCTTGTGTCTCCCTCAGTGACATAAACATAACTCACAATTCTCTCACCTGAAAAATCCCGGCATCCCTTGGGTCTCTACCGACCTTAACATCGTTAATGTGTCGGGGAATAAACTCTCCGGCCAAATTATAGAGACCTTATCGTCTTTAAAGCTTAACCTCGTCGATTTCTCAAATAGCTTAAAGGAGAAGGACAAAAAATAGAGAAAGACGAAAATACCCCTAAAAATCACAGCCAAATGACGGAAAATATTAACATGGACTAAAATTGGAACGCTTTTAATAACTGTGGGCGTAATGTGGCAAAAATAATTATGGTGGATTAAAATTGGAAAAGCTCCTATAACAGTAGGACCAAAAATGGAATTCACTCTAAGAAGTTTGTTACAAGTGCTTAAAAGTAATAATATATGTTTTGGGCTTACTTAATAAATACATCATAAATTTGTACTTATAATCCACGTGTTGAGCATATATAATATATAAACATAAATGTGCAGTGCAACTACCATTTTAAAATTTTAATTTCACTTGATAAAAAAAAAGTTATCATCCACATATTGCTTGGAACTCATTAAAGAGTTATTGACCTAAAAAGATATATTGAACATATAATATATAAACATAAATATATAATCTAACTATTACTCCATATTTTAAACTTTTAATTAAGACAAAACACATTATTGAATTTCATAATTGTGTATATTTTGTATACCAAATAACGAGGGAAAAAACCAGAAAGAACCAAAAGTAGGTGAGACTTTTGTCTGGGATTTACAACATTATTCCAGCTCACATGCACCCTTCATAATTCCTCAGTCAATTTTGTCGATTTTTGTATACATTTCCACTTTGGTCGGCAGATCAGATCAACTGATTATGGTCTATCAAGGAGAATCTACATGAAATTTTTTTCTAAAATTGTTTGATTCTTACTCCAAAAAAAAAAAAACTTAACTTGTGTCTCCAATTTATATAATACAAATATACAAAAATTAATTATCTGACTATATAATTATATTAACAGTCGGTTAACTTACTGCTCTAAGTTGGTGAGTTAACAGGGAAATAGTTTTTTTTTTTTTTTTTTTTGAAAGGAAATAGTTTTAAAATTTGTAATGAAATGGGCTGGGCCCAACCCAAAAATGTACAACTAAGGGCAAAGGATCTAGGGTGACTATTGGGCCCAATGGGCCGAACATAACAACAATACCACCTTAAAAACATTCTCTAGTTTTTTCCCTGTTTACATGTTCAATCTGGTCTGCTGTCATATACTTTGTAGAGATCTCTGAATGGCTAAGTGGCAGCAAAACAGTTTGATAATTGGATAAGGTATAAAGTGTTATTCCTTTCATAAATGAAAGAAAAAAAAAAGATTTTTTTTTTGTTTCCAATGATTGCCATTCTTCCCTGTTGTCATTTGGATTAGTAAATGATGGGGTAAAAAACTATTGAAATTATCTCACATTACTTAATAATAATGCAAAAGTTATACATTCTAGTGTCAAAGTTTTAATTATACCCAAAAATCATTTTAGTTAATTCAAAATACTAAAGCATTTATTGTTCATATATAATAGATGTAAGTTAAGTTTTAAATATATCATTTAATCAATGCAATGCACTCAATATATTTTTAATACATCCCTAATCAGTACAAGAAAGTATCTATTTTAATTAGAAATGTTAGTAGAAATAGAAAGAGAAAAATGTCACTATTTAATTTTAACTAATACTTGACATTCTTATTATTTAATAGGATAAGACTTTTCAATAATAATAATAATAATAATAATAATAATAATAATAATAATAATAGTAATAGTAATAATAATAATAATAATAATAATAATAATAATAATAATAATAATAATAATAATAAATAAAACAATCTTGTATAAGATAATATTATATCTGGTAATTTTTTTTATCAAAGACATTAAATTTATACTAATATTTTTAATAAATATATATATATATATATATATATATATATATATATATATATATATATATATATGTATATATATATATATATATAACTTATTAACTCATAACAAATATATTTTTTGTTCATTGAAAAATATTTTATAACTAGACAATTCCAACTAAGGTGGTCAAACGATTAAGTTGGTGAATGATAATTACAAACTTTCTCGTTTGGTTTGCGAAAAATATTTGAGGGGAAATTAAAATGAAATTAACGGGAAGGTTAATTACATTGTTTGGTTTGTGAAAAATAAATTACTGAGGATTTAATTCTATTGTTTGGTTGAATTTGAAATTGTAAGGAATAATATAAAGATAATTATACTCCTACACACTAATAACACTAATAATAATAATAATAATTAAGAAAATTTTACTAAAGATTCAAGAAAAACATTTTCCAATGGAAGCAAACATTCCCAAGAACGAGAGTGGGTCTGTTAACGAACCGAACATAAACGAACGGAGGTTGTTCGTATTTGTTTGTTAAGGTTTTTGGAGTATTTGTATTCGTGTTCGTTTGTTAAGGTGTTTGAAAATCATGTTCGTGTTCGTTAGTGTTTGTTAACATTCGCGAATATGTTCACGAATGTGTTCGTTAACATTAACGAACAAGTTCACGAACATGTTTGCGAACACGTTCGTTAATGCTTAATAACCAAATATATGAACATGTTCATGGTCACAATTCATTCGTAAACAATAAATAATATATGTTCACGAAAAATAACTAAACAAGTAACACAACTACAAAGAGAATACAAACAAATATTAAACGAACACAAACGAGCTTGTTCACGAACATTATGAAATGAACACTAATCGAGCTTGTTCGCGAACATTATTAAACGAACATAAACGAGCTTGTTCACGATCTCTCTTAGCAAATGAGCTTACAATTGTTCAGACTCTGTTCGTTTATAAACTGAGCTCTAAATTTTGTTTATTAATGTTTATTTATCTTAATAAATGAATATAAACGAACGCTTATCGAACACAAATACAAGTAGTTTAATGAAAATTCTATACGCTAACACCCCTAAACGAGAGTGCTCTACACTCTACACCCAGCTTGGTAAAAATTTTACAACGCGGAAATCGTCAAGTTGTATAGCGTTATCCATGACATAGAAAAAAGGTTTGAATTCCAAAAAAAGAAAAAAAGAAAAAAGAAAAAAGAGTGAAAACACAGAGGGATATAGGGAAAATAGCAACAAAAAGCAGCACACGGTCTACGCAGCCTACATCACATGAGCTTGAGAAG